AGACAAGCTCTTCTCCAGCACTGCATTCTGTCTCCGGGAAGCAGAGACACAGCTGATGTATGCTTCTTCCCAGGGAAGCAGTGTTTACAGGGCTGTGACCAGATTAACCACTTCCAATAAAAGGTCCAAACGGTGGCCACAAGCTGTCTGGGGGCTCCAGCCATATTTAGCATTTGGGCAGGTCCATTTGGGCCTCAATATATTTGTCTGGTTATACTTTCAGAGAAATGATGTCATCATGAATCTGGATGAATTGAACTGCATTTATGTAGTCAAGCAGGGCAGTGCAGACTTTTCAAGGAGCGGCTTTTCAATCCCTCAGTTAAATTTGAGTAGCGTTTTGCAAAGTCGCTGATCACTTGTGATCCCAAAATGGAGCAACTTTCTATCATTTGGGCAAAAGAGGCAGGTGCTCAGGCACCCCCGCCCCCCGCATATCCCATTGGCCTACCAAAACTACCCCCAGCATCATCATGTCATCTTCAGTCTGAATGCTAAGCAATCAGAATCTATTAGATACATGTATATACCGTATATTTCAGACAAACTGAAGCTATACAATACATATATACAGTGCACCATATATTTCAGAAAAGTATCTGGACACTGTAATCTCTTGCTGCTGTTTTTCTTGATTATAAATACAGGTGATTCATAAGGGACTTGGACCCCTTCACTTTTCACATTGTGTTATGCTGCAGCTTTAGGACTGGTTTTACTTCACGCGTAAGTGGTCACCATGCAGGGCCGGGCTGCCCGCAACCCTGAATGTTCTTTCTTTTAGCGCAAACACACAAGACAACCACGTATTTTGACGCTAGGCCTGGGGTGGCGCTGTAGAGCAAAGTTACTCTTAAAATCATATTTATGAAGTGTGGAATGGATGTTATAAAATTAAAACTAATACTAAACAAATACTATGAATACAGATGCTCCTCTACTTGTGAACAAGATACGTTCCCAACAAAATTTGGACATACAGTCCTCTTCGTTCGTATGTCTGAAAGTTCGTAAGTTGAAAGTTCGTAAATAAAGGAGCGTCTGAATTGCTTCCAAAACCAACCGTAATAAAGCATCAAATACTTCTTGTTAATGATTTTACTGCTACTATAATATTGCTATATTCTTTAGCTAAAGTAAGGATTTCTTTATTTTTGGCCTTCTGCTTTAGAAACAGCAGACAACGTTACGTCACAGCACTCTGTAGAAGCCAACAAAGTCCTACAACTTTACTAAAACCTGAAAGTAAATATATAACATCTTTAAAATAAAAACTAATGAAATCACACCAAAAACTAAACTAGATTTCAAATGAAAACAAACAATAATATAAAAATACATTTAATAGCCTAAATGATAATGCTGAAGCAAAACCATGCATGGGCTGCTGCAGTACAAACGTATTTTATTCTAGTCTCTATAATTCTGTAGCAAGGAATTATATAAATGCTGGTGTTTCCCGACTTCCTCAGTCAACCATTCTTCAAATCGGCTACTCATTTTGTTATAATTCTGATCATAGGGGGTAGAAAAGGTTTATATACATTGTATATATGTATATATAATCTTTGGTCCAACTCCTTTCTGACTTTTTGACTTTCTGCTACTTCTCCTCTGGCCAGTGAACGATCGAGGTTCATTTGCGTCACTGAGTGGTGTTGGTGCTGCGGAGCCTCAGTATAGTCTCTGCATTGTAATAATGTTTGAGTAATGTGCAGCCTCGCATGCAACACTCCTACTCGGCATCTAAGGCTGGCCCCATGGCAAAAACTACATCACAATCGCCGTATGCAATGTCACATGCGCGTGAAGTAAAGACCAGCCTTTATGCTAAAATTGTTTAAATTAATTTTTTTCACTCAACACCACATGACAAACCAAAAACAGAATTTCAGAATTTTTTTAAATCTGTTAAAAATAAAAAACTGAAACATCACATTGAAATAAGAATTCAGACCTTTGCTGTGACGCTTGAAATTTAGCTCAGGTGCCTTCCATTTCTACTGATTATTTCTGAGATGTTTTTAACATTTTTAGATACTACCTATGGTTAATTTAATTTATTGGACATGTGAGATCATGTGAGGCTTTTACATTGTCACTAAAAGCCTCAGTATAAAAGACAGATGCCCACTTGGAGCTGCCAAAAGGACTCTCAGCCTATGATCTCTGGTCTGATGAAACCAAGATTGAAGTGTTTAAAAGTTCTAAAATCTTATTTTGCTTCATCATTATTGAGTAGTGATTGTAAATTGATGCTGTAAACAAATTAATTTAACAAATAAAATTTGAAAAACATGAATACTTTGTGTATCCACTGTATAACTGGCAGAGCAGCTGGCTGGCCAGGCTACTGTGCTATCTGTTCACATTCACTGGCGAGGCTACTGTGCTTTCTGTTCACATTCACTGGCCAGGCTACTGTGCTTTCTGTAGCCTATAGGCAACATAGGCGGCTGCCTAGGGTACCGGATTCTGAGGGGCCGCCAACTCACCAGCCAATTTCACTTTGCCTCAGACAGGGGGCCCTAGCAGTCATGCTCGCCTAGGTCACCACATTGGGTAGGACTGCCCCTGGGGCAAACAAATGATTCTAGACCTTTTCTCAGAATAAAGTTTACTTTTTTTACCTTTACTTGCATAGAACTGCTCCACAATTATCTATAGTGGTTGTGTGAGTCAGTTATGTTTAATAATACACAAGTGCTGTCCCATAGTTCATCATCACATTATTCAGGAACGTGTTCCGCTAAGCCTGAGAACCATAATGAAGCTGTAATACTTGTTTGTCTCTATTTTTAACCGTATGTCCATCCTTTTAAAATTTACAACCTACCCAATATTTTTTGCTAAATGTTTTGCTTGAAAAGTGGGCTTAAGGTATCTATATTCCACACAAATGCAATTTCGTTTGACATTTTATTGTGCAACTCAATAAGATGAGGACAATTTTAACCATGGCTTAAGTGTCCAAATACTTTTTGGGGACTGTATGCTCCATCGACAATCACAAAACCAATAAAGCAATACTGAGGGTGTTAGACCACTCACAGAGGTGTCTCTGTCTATCTCAAGAAGAGCAGCAGTGATGTAGGCAGTCAGGGACACTTCATCGCTGACTCCGCCCTGAAACAGAGTTTATAAAGCTGTGTGCAGGAAGTCACGGTAAACATACTACATACATTCCTGAACTGCAGACATCTGCAGATAATACTGAACCATTAAGCATAATATTCAAGAAAATCAAGAGCAAAGTACTGATACGACAGAAGCTCACCGTGGGAGTATTATGCTGAAAGAAACAGAGTTTATAGAAAACTACAAGAAAATAATTATCCTAAATTCCAACGATTGTTCTCATAATGTGTGAAATAGGACATCAAGACAATTACCTTCATAATGTGTGAAATAGGATGTAGAGTTTGCGTTTTACCTTCATAATATGAAACATAATGTTGAGATTGTGTTTTACCTTCATAATGTGTGAAATTGGACATGAAGATGGTGTTTTACATTCATTATGTGTGAAATAATACCTTGAGATGGTGTTTTACATTCATTATGTGTGAAATTGGAAGGTTGGATGATGCTGTAGCTTCATAATGTGTGAAATAGGATG